GTGTGAATAGGAGGGATCCTTTGGCTGGAAGAGGGAGAGTGTCACAAGAAAAGCATGAAAAGGGTGAAGAGTATCACTTTGGAGCAAGAAATATCCTGGAGAAGTTGGAGAACAGGTGAATTGAAATGAAAAAGAAATTAGGACATTAGGACATCTGGAAGAAGGATTTCACAAAGCAGGTAGTCAGCAACACAACGGCACATGTGGAAGCCCAATGACATCCACAGACTCCTGAACTCTGCAACAGGACTGGGATTTTTCTCAAAAAAGTCAGAAAGGACTTTCAGGCCCCTCAGTCCAAAACTGCCACACAAACTTCTCAATGACTGCCTAACCTTGGAGGCAGAGAGATTTACTCAGGCCCCTCCTGTGCACAATTTCACAGTTCTTGTAGTTCTTCAGAGAGTGCTCAGATGTCCCATGGTCTGTGCAGCTTGGTGCCTACCTCTTCTGGGCCAAGCTCCACTCAGTCAGAGGGGCTGTGGCAGCCAAATCACAGTACCATTCCTCTGGGTGATTTGAATAAGAGCAGAACAAGAGCAGCATGGGCACTTCTCTACAGGCTGCACTAGAAACTGAGAGAGCCTACACATGAACCAGCCAGGGGACAGGAGGGAATATTAAAAGGTCCTGGATTTAATTGTACACAATTAAAAGAGGGCAGACAAGGAGGTTGTTATAAAGGAGGAAGCCAGCTTTTGTTGAAATCTGGCGTTGACAAAGTGGCAGTCTGAATAACCCCTTGCCTTTTCAGATCCCTTCCTCAACAGGCGAAGGGCCAATGACTTCATACAGGCTGACAGCAGACTGAGAGCCATCACTCAGGAGAGGTATGTCACAGCCTCAGGATGCTGAGCTGGGAAGTGGGAAGAGGTTCCTCCTTGCCAAGACAAGCTGTTAGCAGGGGTGGCAGCCATGGTGACTTGTGAAAAGCCTCAGTCCCTCTTTTAATGTGAGGTACCATTTAAGTCCCCAAACCCAGGGAAAGTAAGAATTCAGATAACAGAGAGCAGGTCCTTTGATGCTGAGAAGACTGATGAATTTTTCTGAAGGAAGAACCAACAGGAGAGAGAATGAATGTGGGATGGTCCGAAAGAAAGCTCAGTTTGAGATCTTTTTTTAGTCCTCAGATCTCATGCAGAGCTTGCATGATCTTTTCTAAATCAAAGGGCCATCTGAGGGCCTCATTTATAAAATACAGATATAACCAATTTCATGCCTTATTCAAGGCTTGTGAAAATAAAGACTGAAGCACAGAAATCATCTCTCAGTGAGGCATAAGGCAAACCTTCTCCTCAGTACCAGCTGACCCCTTTGCAGAATATTTCAGGTCTTTTTTCTATGTATATGTTTACCAAAGAGCAGAAGAGGGCAGGCTGGGCAAGGCTGCAAAGGGAGGACCCTTCCTCAACTTGAGGCAGGAGCCATTCCCCTCTCCCCATCACCTTACTTAGCCCCTAAATAAAAGGTTGCTTGAGGAGGCAAAACACTCCTGCTGTAGTCCCTGGGTGTGGTAAACACAGAAGCTGGCGTGCTAAGACCTCTGTAGCTGGATGATGGACTCTGATGGTGGATCCTTAATCCAAGTGGGGAGTTTCAGGACAGGAAGGGGTTGTAGAGAGATATTTAAGATGACAGCACTTACCCCTCTTCCCTCCTGCCTTGACAGGGTCAGGGAGCGCAGTAAGGCGCACTACGAGCATCAGAGGGAGCTCTGCGAGGACTACTACCCTTGTGAAATGTACGCCTTTCGCCACGGCTACCCTGCTGCTTACAAGCACTATTTTGGGGGGAGGAGGAGGACTAAGTAAAAGATGATCTGTCCCCACCCTGGGGCCTGGAGTCCAGGGTATCTCCCCAAAATTGCAATGGCTCTGAAACATACTCAGTTGCTTGTATCCCTGTATGTTATCCTGCCTGCTGCTTCTCTCCCATGTAGCCATGGATTCCTACACTGTGTTAATTAGCGCTGAGCTGATGTAGCAGAGATCACTGAGAGTTCAGGATGTGGGTGTTTACTATGAAATAAATTGCTGGTTTGATACTATCTTCTCATGACTCACAGTATTTTGGAAGGGGGGTATGCAATTCTCCATGAAGGAACTGAATTTGTGTGTCATACATTCTGTTGCAGATTAAGGGGAAAAACCTTGCAAGAATATGGCTTTGGAAGAGCCTATAATATTCTTGTTCCAGTTCTACAAGTAGCTTCTTTCAGAGGTCACTGGACAGTTTCAGCTACCAGTCTTAATCTAAAACCAGTGGGGTGTTCAGAATGCAGATGCACTTTTTGAAAATCAAATCTTTCTTCAGTTGGGGAAAAAAAAATCCAGAAGGCACTATTTAATCTTAAAACAAAGTTAGGCGGAGAGTTGATGACTGAAAAAGCCTGTAAGCTGCCTCTTGTTAATCCAGTTACCATCAGGTCCTGATGTTAGGTGCTCTTTTAGAAAGGAGTGTGTGGTCCACTTGTATTTCTTTTTGCAATCCCCTTTCAAAAGCCTTCCACTTGAAACTACTCTGGTAGCACTTGAAAGCTGCAGAAATCAAAGCTGGAGAGGGGCTCCTGGTGGTAAATAAATAAAAAAAGAAATCCAGTGTTTGTGGTCAGGCCCAACTTTGTTCACATAGAACAATTTTATTGTACTATTCACAAATCATTTGAAATCAAGATGTGGCTTGACCCTGTGCACTGAGCCCCTCCTGGACCCCTGAGGAGTGAGTATGGTTGCATTCTGCTCACCATCATCAGGGCCTGTCCCCAGGCCAAAAGGCACCAGTGCTGACATGTCCAAGAATTCCATGCTGCTCTGGGCTTGACAGCAGCCACAGCAGCTGGGACAAACCTTGGTGTGATTTGTGTAGGAGACATAACATCCATCTCAGCTCAACACAGATGGTTTCAGCATTCACATCTCCAGGCTTACACAGGCACCTGCAAATTATGGAAGTTGGAAAAAGATTCATGGCATGCAATCAAAGTCCATGATGTATAAAATATTACATTGTTGACTAATCTGTGAAATTAAGTCTGGAGCCAAATCTACCTGGCCCTTTAGAAACATGCATCTCCTTGCAAAACATGCTTCAAAGTCTGCCAGCTCTGAAACGGAATTTGGGAAAGAAATGTGATTTATTTATTGAAAACACTTCTGATAGGAAACTCCACCCTGGCAGTTGCTAAAGTTTTGTCCAGAGGAAAAAGTGATAGAGAAATAATTTTAAGGGAATAAAACCCTGTACAGATTAGGTATTTCCACACACACTTGCCCTCTATCTTCTCAAGTAGATGAATCTTGTGATCACCAACTGGAGCAAACTCACATATGCTAAAATCAACAAGTCTGCAGTGTCTGGGTTTGACTTGACACTGTGACACCACCACAACAGAAGACACAAGGTCTAGTGCTGTCTGGGTCCAGAAATATCCAGTGATTCCAATCCCCAGTTAACCAGTATAAATAATGCATAACACCAGAAATTTCTGTGGGATTTCATTAGCATAAGCAACAACCAAACAGATTTAAGAGACTACATGCTGGTTAGAAAGCTTGGGAAAAGATGGGAGGATAAATAAAGCTGTTTGGATTACTAGAATTGTACATTTATATATTTATATTATTTCAAGTATTCATCTGGAAGCATAACTTTCCTAGAATACCTATTATTTTTAGATGTTTATTTACTTTTTAACTGTTGCTTTTTTGCTGGAATAATATATATATATAAGACTTTTTGCTGGACGTCATCAGTATATTCAGCTTTCCTGGACTGTAGAAAAGTTTACAGGGCCAAAAGCTGAGGTTTATTTTAATCCTGAAAATTCTCTAAGCTAAAAGACAGTGTTTCTAAGAATTGGAAAAATCCTTAATGGCTCTGATTTTCCTTGGGAGCCTCCTAAACTTTACTTCTGTAACCCTGCACATGGATAAGAAGAGAACTGAAGTGGAGGAAGATTATATCTCTGCTACCAGAAAGAATGAGCACACTTGATTAAAAAAACCACAAACCAACTATCCAAACTTGGTCACCTGGTCTGTTCAGCCAGGAGGAGACCTCATTGCAGTGTTCAACAGCCTCCTAAGGGGCAGTGGAGGGGCAGCACCTATCTCTGCTCCCTGGTGATCAGTGGTAGTGCCCAAGGGAACAGCTGGAACTGTGTCAGGCGAGGTTTACGTTGGATTTAATGAAAAGGTTCTTCACCCAGAGGGTGTTTGGGCACTGAACAGGCTCCCCAGGGCAGTGGTCACAGCACCAGCCTGACAGAGCTCAAGAAGAGTTTGGACAATGCTCTGAGGCACCCAAGGTGTGAGCCTTGGGTGTTCTGTGCAGGGCCAGGAGCAGGACTTGGTGATCCTTGTGGGTCCCTTCCAGCTCAGCATATTCTGTGATTCTGTGGTTCCTATGCTGTTTGTGGGACATGGCTTTGGTGACTTGGGCAGTGGGTTTGGGGAGCGTGGGGTTATTGACACACAGCCCATGCAAGGCTCTTGCCATACCAAGTAACTTGTGCCACTCGGGTCCTGAAGGATAAAACACTTTTGGAGTCCAAATGCCTATTTGACTTTTAGCCAAGAGAAGCCAAGATAAAACTTCTAAATTATGATGATTTCCAGGAGAAAAATAGAAAGATCTTCCCTCAAACTAACTTCTGAAGTTCCTAAAACCTCATCTCTCCAAAGTGATTTGATGAAATTGTGAAACTGTCTGAAAAACTACTGTGTTTGTCCTATGCAAAGTCATTTACAGGTTTCTTTACCCTCAGGGTAATGAGTCAAGGTGGGGTGGAGGAAAAGGTCATTATTGTGTTCAGTCTCATTTGAGAAACTCCACATGAGAGAGCCCCATCACATGAAAAGAATTGCTCTGCTTCAGTGTGCTGGTCTCTTCCCTGGCTTTCCAGCATGACAGAATGACTTTCAAGTTTGTAAGAAAAATGATTTTTAAAAATCCAGTTGTTTTTCTTCAACAGCCCCATTCAAGACCTCAGATAAAATCTTCTGGAAATGCCCCGAGTCATGAGATGGATGCCAAAATGACTGCCAGGATCCAGTATCTCACAGCCCAAAGGACGGGCTTTGTTTTGGAGCACAGACACTGGAACACAAGCCAGATCCCTGATCTCTCCAAGAAATCACAGCATATAAACTGCTGCCCAAAAGCAAGCCTCGGAGAACTTCAATAACCTCCAGGAAAGCTTGAGGTTAGGGAGACTAGCACAGCCAAAGAAGACATGAGGAGTCTGCTGGCACTACTGGTCGTGTCCCTGGCCCTGGCAGCACTCTGCTGTTGTGAGAAAGGTAAGGAGACATCTTCCCAGGAAGGCTCTCAGAGCACTGCTGAGCCCTGCAGCTTCTGTCAGCCTTCCTCCAGTCTGGGAGAGGCACAGAGCTCTGGGGGGGAGGAGATGCAGCACCAGTCATTGCACAGCTTCAGGTCTCTCTTGGAGAGTCACGAATTAGAGAGGGCTTGGGAACAGAGGCCCCCATCTTCTGCTGGGCATTTTCTTCCACTGGTCAACACCCACTCACCCCCATCTCAGCTGAATATTGAATTGCAGCAGAGAATTTGAACATTTTAATATGTTTCAACTGGTTTATCATTTAGTCTCTGTCTAAATGGTGGGTGTTAATAAAACCATTTGGGGAGAAACAGACCTTCTAGGTAAGTGGGGGGAGCTGGATCTGGCCAGTCACTGGTGGGATTCACTTACAGAGGAGGACAACTCACAAGCATAGGATTCACAAGCAGACTCCTTTCTGTCTGTCTTGCAGATCCCAAAGAACCCAGAGGAGGACAACTCACAAGCATAGGACTCACAAGCAGACTCCTTTCTGTCTGTCTGTCTGTCTTGCAGATCCCAAAGAACCCTCAGGATCTCTCAGTGCTGACAGTGAGTATATCATTCTGACTGATGCTCAGCTCCATCCTCCTGCATCTGCCTTCCTCCTTCCCTTTGGCAGGTTCAAGGGCTGAACAAGAACCATGCCGAGTCCCTCTCTAGCTCTTCCCCTTTCTCTCCCCATCTCTGCAGTCCCTGAAGGGCAGGAGCATGTGCAGCAAACAGAGCCCCTCCCGTGTGAGCAGGTGACATAGCCAGTGTCCCTGCAGCAGCAGGGCCAGCAGTGCTCGTGGTGTGCTGCTGCCCCAGGCTCCACAGCCCCCGAGCAGAGCCCTGGCGAGGCACGGGGGCTGCACGCTGCTAGAGCTGGGTGCATCTGCCTCCCGTGAAACAGGCTGGTGTTGGCAGTCCCCCTGCTCTGACCGGCTTCAGGGACCTGCCCAGAGTGACTGCTCATCCCCAGGCTGCTCTGAGAGCAGAAGCTGCCCACATCAATGGGTTGTGACATTCCTGCCAAATCCTGCAACAAGGAAACCCTGAAAAAGGAGGGCTTCCTTGGCTGCTCCTGGGGGATGCAGTCCCTCCTGTCAGGTCACCTGGGATGCTGGGATTTGCACACCTTGGGTTGTTCACAACTCTTGCAGCAAGCTGATCCTGGCAGAAATCTGTATGGAAAATCCTTTTTGTTCTCTCGTGTCTCTCCTTTCTCACACTTTAAAGGATAACATTGCTGCTGAGAAGCATGAAAGCTGGTATTTTTCCAGTGAGCCAATACAAACACAGATTGGGAAAGAGAAAAAAACACTTAAAAACTATTCAGGGAAAGGTGGTAGTTTCTGATAATTCATTACCTGGCAGTTTCTGTATAGTCAGTATTTTGATCCAGACTAAATCTCAGTTTGCTAGACAGGATACTTCTCACCTCCAAAGAGAAACACAGCCAAACACTCCGTGATGATGAGGGAAGGGACAAACCCCACCACCTCCCCACAGGCAGAGGTCTTAGAATCTTTTTTTCCCCAGAGAGAGCAACAATTTGGCAGTTTCCATGCTGAAATGTGCATTGGTGTGCTGCTGCTGTGCTGGCACCTTGCACACCTCTGCTGTTGTGGGAGCATCCCATGGAGCGAGGTTGTGCTGTGCTGAGCCCTGTCTTGGGCTGAGAAGTGGCTGTGCCTGGTGTTTGTGGGGTCCTTCACAGCACCATGGTGTTTGCACAATGACAACCAAGGCAGCACGGGCTGGGAAGTGGCTGTGCCTGGTGTTTGTGGGGTGTTTGCACAATGACAACCAAGGCAGCAAAGAAGCAACTGTGCACATATGATGTGCTAATGGAGAGCAGGGGCAAATGCTCTCATGGCTGAAACATCTCTTATGTTCTCCAGGTTCTGAATGCTGGGGTCTGTGCACATCTTGGGTGTATTTCTCACTGGGTGATGTTTACTGTCACTGTTTTATATTCTTCACTTTTCACTGAACTCTGTACATGTGAGCACTGGTATTTCTGTGTGCTGCCTGCTGCTCATGGCTCACTGGAGGTGCTTTAGGGTCTTCTGGTTGGTATCCCACATCCTTCTCAGACAGAGTCCAGACAAAGAAAGGAAGCCAAGACTCTGAAATTAAGTAGGCCAGGGAGAGAGGGTGACATTCTCCTAATTTTCTTCTTATTCATATTTTATGCCTTCTGCACATTTGCTGCAGACTCAGATTATGCTGTGTGATAAGGAAATGGAATTTATGACAGAAAAAGCCCTTGCTTCATGGAGATGTGAAGGCTGCAGTGAGGAGGGAGCTTTGAGTGGACAGTGGGATGGGGAAAGATGAATGGGCCATTAGGATGGTTTGTGGCAGTCATTTGCTTGTGAAGAAAGTAGATTCTGCTTTTCAGAGGTTGGACTGGTCTGTGTGTTTCAGTGCTGCACCTAACCTGCTGTGTTCTCTCTTGGCAGGCATCAAGATTAAAAAAGAAGTTGCCAATGCCTTTGTGAAGAGGAGGAAGAGAGCCAGCCCTTATGAATGGTAACAGCTCAGGAGCTGGGCTGAGAGCTGGACTCTGGACCTGTTCTGAAGAGGGGGTGGGAAGGCCATAGGGCATGACGAAGCATTATTTTGTTGTACAGCTATGTTATTACCTGCTTGTGTTGAAGGAAAAAGGCTGTAGGAGACATTCAGTAATGGAAAAATGGTTCTTTTTTCATTAAAACCCATTTGAAGGCTCATAGTTGGACTCTAGTTTTCCTCCCAGGGAGAAAGACAGCCATGGAGACAGTGGGATACAAGGTAGAAGCTACTCCAACCTACAGGGTCATCAGAACAAATTTTTAGGATAATGAGAATCATAGAGCCGTCGTCATTGCCTCTGGTTTCCCACAAAGAATAGTTTTTCCTACAGCAGCTTTGTTGCAGGAATAAGGCTAGATCAGAATAGCTGTTCTTTCTGAAGCTGTAGAATATATATTTACTTGTGCAGAAAGTAGACACAAAGATTTGGAGAATTCCCAGCTATTTGAGACATTTCAGGTAATGCAGGGAAGTTCTTCATACATTTCCTGGAAGAGGTTGTTAAGCTACTCTTTCCAATACAGAAATAATGTAAAAATTCATGAGGTACTGGTGGGATTTCTGTGGTGGTGTGTACAATCTTTAGGAAAGATTAACCAAACATAGAAAAGGAATTGAGAATGACATTCAAAGTGTACTGTTGAGACTGTGTACTTGGATGTACAGTAAAAAAAATTGGGCTTTCTTAGCCTGTCAAAAAAAAGAAAAAAAAAAGAAATATTAACCAAACATAGAAGAGGAATTGAGAATGACATCCAAAGTGTACTGTTGAGACTGTGTACTTTGGATATACAGTAAAAAAAATTGGGCTTTCTTAGCCTGTCAAAAAAAAGAAAAAAAAAATACATAGGGGTAATGCTCCTGTCTACAACAGAAGTGAGGATTGCTAGAGAGAAGTGTTTAAGCTAAAGGAAAATAATGGCTAGTGGGCAAAAATAAAGGTAAGCAGAAAATAATAAAATAAATACATAATTAAATATATAATAATATTTCTGGGTAGTTGGGGAATGAGATTGAAGACAAAAAACCCCAAAACCCGAAATCCTTATAGTTTCTGTGGTATCCTTTGCTGATAAAACCTCAAGAGCAACTGATTTAAGTTGGGTTCAATCCCATATTTCCCAGCATTGATCAAGTAGCCTAAGCCTGTGTAAGCAGACGTTTAACTCAGCATGACCAGTCCTCTGTTGGGTCATCCTGGAGGACTGCAGGGAGCATTGCTTCAGAGAGTCACTTCTTTCACGTCAGCGTCAGGGGTATGAACTGTCTCCAATGCATTGGCTGAAGCTGCAGAATGGCATCTCTGTCTCCTGCAGGTACTTGGAGTACTACAAAAGCCCCATGGAGCAGATGCACGAGCGCTGTGAGAACTACCCGCCCTGTGACTATCTCTCTGACCAAGTAGGGTTTGCCTTGGCCTACAACCGCTTCTTTGGGAGATACTGACCAGGGGAAGGTCTCTCTGCTCGTTTGGCTTGGACCACTCCAAACCCTACAGGAGAAAGAAGTTGTGGTTGGGAAGGAGGGAAGGAAAACATCTGGACTAGCATCTTCTTCTGTTGTCTCCCAACCAGCTGGAACACCAAGGCAGGGATTATCTCACTTGTTGAGCTTCCTTTAACTTTCTTCCTTTCATCAATAAAGTCTCTCTTCAGACATATTTTGTGGTATTTTGAGCTTCACCAGAAGACACTGTCTTATTTCCTTACACCTGAATCCCCAGCACACAATGTTTGAAGAAAACCACTGCACGCCTTGGAAACATCACTAGATCTCTTATCCTCTTCTGCAAAATACAGGAGGATTATGGAAGAAGAATGTCACAGTGTGTGTAAATGTGATGGATCTGATCCTGGGATGCTCGCTGTGAAGAAGGAAGAACACCTGCCTCCTGTTCCAATTAGTGGGAAAGTTCAGTGTTTTCATGTAGTATAATCACATTAAATATGCATCACAGTAGGATCATTTGTAAAGATAGAAGTGTGCAAATACTCTTGCATAGATCGCAATCAGCTTCTGGTACACTCTTCTGATTACTCTGTCATAAAATTTGCTGTATAGCAACAATAAATAAATCCCAAAAAGGTGTGTTTAAGGGGTCCTTTTAGCTGAGCCCTTGCATTTGTGTGCTGCTTTTCGTGACTGTAAAAAAAACCCCTCGAAGTGTCTTGGTTTTTCTGGTTTGTGGTGGTTTGGTTTTTTTTTTTGTTTTTTTTTTTTTTCCAACCAGCTTCTAGTGAAACTAAAAATACCCATCAGAACAAAACAAAACAAAACAAAACAAAACAAAACAAAACAAAACAAAACAACCTCTTCTCAGCTGTTGCTTCTGCATTCATGCTTGAAACTAGAAGCATCTAAACAGCTAAAAAAATTTAAAAAGAAGAAAATAAAGCTATAAACATTATGAAATTTAAAAAAAATGGTTCAAGGATGGATTGAAATTTGGGCAGTGTTTTGTTTATTCAAGACAATTGGTAGTTAAAAAAAAAGATATATATATAAAAAATATACATGTATTTTTATCTACGTATTGTCTCCCCTCTGCACTGCTTCCTTCTGTCCTCTGGTATTAATATTATACCTTGGCATCTTTCTGCATAACCTTGCCAATATACTCTGTCAGCTTTCCTTCCCTGAGAGGCAGACAGCAGATCACACCTCCGAGGACAGGGACTGCGGCTGCTCAGGGAACTGGCAGAGACCAAAGCTCTGGTTACATGTAAGTGCAGCCTCAGCTGCCCATTGCAATAAATACTGCACTGTAAAGCAGGTTGGTGTGCTGCTTCTTTCTGTTCCTCTGTACTTTTACCTGTGGTAAAAGAGATGCCTGGGAGACACAGCCTGTTTTGTGATCCCTGAGGAGCAGGAACCCAGTGTGTGAGGCTTCCTTCTCCCCTGCCATGCCCCAGAGTGAATCAGAAATGATGACATTGAAATTTAGGTCACAGGTTCAGCACTCTGTGACACTGAGGGAGAGGAGCGCCAGGCTTTGCCTGACTCACCATGTACCCAGATCAGCATTTCTCTGAAAGCCTTGTCCTGAAGTAAGGACACAGAAGAAGTCTGCAGAGGTGGCTGCCAGTGTGAGCCTTGCTTGGCAAGCTGCTGTGGCTTGCTGATGCTGATCTTGGCCAAGGAGAAGACACTTAAAAAATATCTCTGCATGTCTTGGTCAAACGCCTGTGACTGGTTCCTCTATTGACATAAACTAATGGGGCTTCACTGCTCCCAGTAAAATTCTACTCTGAACGCCATCTAGTAAAAATTAACAGAGTGCTTTATTGAAAACAGTGAAATTTTTGCTTGGAAAAATACTAGAGAGATTTGCAGAATCCTAATATCCAGTACACTAATAAAATAGGGGTGTTGTGGTTGTTGTATGGTTTTGTTAGCACAGAAAGTTTCCTGTCTCTATTTGCATCTTTCTGCTAGTTTAATATTTTTTCTCTCCCTTTCAGTAAATATTTTTTTCAGGCAAAAAAAGTTACACCCGGAGGCCTCCATTATGTCATCTGCTCTGTGTCATCAGTTCTCTTCATGGGCTGAAGTCATTATGACCTTTGGGGATCTGAGCACTGGATCACGGATCACGTTACAAATTTACTGCTGAAATGGAGGAATTCGATTGTCGCTTGGTTAATGCAGCGCTGAGCACAGCCACAAATCCTCTGCTGCCATCTTTCGGCCTTTGCATTTAATAATAACTTGAGTTGCTTCTGAAGCGTTTGAAAATGCAAATTCCTGTCCTCCTGATTCCCTTAATACTAAACATTCACAGATCAGAGGGGAAAACCAGGAACATAATTTACAAATGGATTATATGCAGCTGAATTGACATTGTAGTGGGGGTGTTTATCATGATTGCCAAGCTCCCAAGGGAACCGGTCTCAGTTTAAGTCTGTTTTATGTCTGCACAAACAGAGGTGGAGTTACCTCTGAATAAATTCGTGAGCCCTCCTGTGGACTCACTTTTAGCAGTCAAACAATCACTTACTGAAATACAGCCCAAGATAACAGAGACATTCCAGGATGCAGAACTAGGCTGTCTGCATCCATCACTATCACATCCATAGCAGTTCATGGCGTCATCTAATGTCACCAGCAGCAACCACTTTGAAAAGAACCCAGTATGAGACCTTTATGCCTCCTCCCACTCTATCTCAGCAATATTTTGCAGATGCTCTGTCCACAGAATCCAAGCAGCTTCACAAACCTCCCCCATCTCAGAGAATCACTCCGTGTCTTGGAGGTCCCCCCTCACCCAAGCTATTATTATCAGGCCATGGAAAATGGGCTTCACTTTTCTGTAGTCAGAACCAAAGTCTTGACAGTTCTTGGCCCTTTTTCCATACAGAAGGGGGAGGCCATGGGGCTCTGTGAGTGAATAACTCACCGCCAGTGTTTGGAAGGGTGTCTAGAAAGCAGCTGCTAGAGAAAGGTTTGTCTCAGCACAGACTCTGCATTTACACACTCATTTTGCCCGTGCCAATGTACACAGTCCAGTGAGGTGCCACTCTGCAGTGCTGTAGGAGGAGGATTGGCACACGTGGGTAGAAAGCAGGGGGTGATAAGGAGGAGAAGGAGAGTTAGGTTATCGCTGCTTCCAGATGGGATCCCAACCTACCCTGCATTTCTGCGTTGGCTTTATCAGAGTCAACTTCTTTAAAAGGGCTTTTGAACTCTTAACCAGGGAGCAGTCACCCTGAAACACCTCTCCTCAGGAGAAGTGCCTTAGTATTCTCCAAGCCACGGTTTTCTTCCTTTTTACAAGAACAACACCAAACACCTTGGAATCAAAAGAACTGTCAAGGTGATGGACACTTATGCCAGCTGAAATTCCTGCAACCAGACACCTTATGGATTTTGGGCACATTTCTACCAGTAAATTGTCTGCTTGGATTGATTAATGACTTCTGAATTGCAGTGAGAATTTGGTGAATGATCTCTGGTTGAAGAATGGCCACCAAAACCTGAGTACAAATTACAAACTGCAGAATTTTCCAGTTCAAAGAAAAACAGGAAGACACAGGTGCAAATTACCTTTCCTTTAAAAAAAAATGTTTTTTACAGTGTCTTGGGTGGACTCTGTGAAGCTGGTGACACTGGGCAGCCTCCTGTTGCTGATCTTCTCACAAATACTGGTAAAAGAGGTAAATATTGCTTTTTTATTTGAAATAATGAAATTTCTTATACCACAGAATTAAACTTTTTTTTTCTATTTGAAACAGGTTCTTTAAGGAGTTTTTGGTTCAGTTTTAACTTTTCTGCTTTCAATTCTTCAGTTCCATTTCATAACTGTCTTAATTTGTTTAGTTACTTGGTTGAAATGTTCGTCCTGTTTGCAGCCAGGTGATTTCATAGAGTATTTGTGAGTAGATCTCACGGAATCTTTCCTTTCCTTTTCCAGCCTGTCTAAATTGACCTATGCTCCTGGGAGATTCTAATGTAGCACATCCATATAAAATAAGAACTCTGTCATCCTGACCTATGGTGGTGTACAGACAATAACCTGAGGTTACTCAGGAGGGTTTTGCTAAAGATTTGCTACCTGCCTTGCTTGCTCTGCCAATAATAACAAAGAGACAAGGAAAGGGTAGAGAAAAACTTGGTTGTATCCACAAAGATACACAAGAAATTCACACTTCTGATGCTAATCCTTATTTGCTTTTATGTTGCAGGCTGCGTCTCCCATCCAGATGGATATGGCTCTGCATTCCTTTGATGACCAGTATCTGGGGTGCAGAGAGGAGATGATGGAAGAACTGGAGCAAGGAGACTATTTTCAAAAGGAAATAGCTGCTAACAAGGAATACTTTCGTCTCTGGAAGAAGGCTCAGGAGGCTTTGCTGAAGAGCCCTGTAGGTCTGCTGAGGGAAATGCGTGCCAGCCATGCCACTGTCCTCATGGCTTACACCATGAACTCCTCCCTGCACTCGCAGCTGAACTGGGCTACATCCACAGCAGGAATCTCTCCAGAGCACTACAGACACAACTTCAGCTTTAAATATTTTCACTTCTACCTAACAACCGCTATCCAGATATTAAAGGAATGGCAGATCAGCATGGGGGAACATAAGTGCTACCAGGTGCACAGGGGTGTAAAGGACTTATATATCGAGGCCAAGGTAGGCAGCAGGGTGCGATTTGGCCGTTTCACTTCTACCTCCCACCTCAGGAATGAAGCCCAGAAGTTTGGGAATGAAACTTTGTTCACAGTGACCACTTGCCTGGGAGCAGCTGTGCAAGGCTTTTCTTACCACACATCTGAGAAGGAAGTCCTCATTCCCCCTTATGAGATATTTCTTGTCAAAAGCTTCCTTCAAACCCAGCAGGGCAACCGGCTGCATCTGCATTCTGTGGGGAACTACAGCAAGTACCAGTGCCAGCTGGTGGCAGGTATTGTACTCAGGCTCTCTTGCAAGGGGGCACAGGACAGGCTGGTCCCCACTGCCCCAGGCAGCCCCCACCAGCTGCACCCACACAGGGCCACACTCAAGGGCAAACCTGTAGCTCACCTTAGCTCACCTCTTGTGTTTGCCTACAAGACCCAGCTTTTACCCATTTGCTGTGAAACCTGGGACAACCCCACAGCTCACTAAAAATGAATCAACAGCAGGTCTCAAGGTTCTTTGCAGCCCCCATTTATCCCAAGTGTCATTGGAAGAATGTTGCAGGACTCATGCCTTTGGGTCCCCAGTATTGTTATTGCAAGAGTGGGTGAGATTTGCTTGGACTAAGTAATCTATGCTGATGTCTTGCAATGCTGCTACACTTCAAGTTTCAGGACTGTTCTAGGCTTTGATCCACTACTACTCTGGCAAGCTACTACTTCTACACTTATCTCTGGCAAGCTGAGAGAAGTGTGAACAAAGCTACTGTCACTTTAGCAGTGATCTCTCTCCTGAGGCAGCAGGGAGAAAAGGCATCCTTTGACAAAGAACACACTGAGTTTCCTGGTTATAGAGAGAGCTCTGTGCTGGAATACCTCATGGAGCCTGTTTCACATCCCTGCCTTTCTGTGGCTCTACCACCAGTCCAGGACTCTTGCTTTACTCTCTTTGTTCAGCAGTGTGTTAATGCAATCTTTGAGCTCA